TACTGTTTTAGCACCACATTAAATACCAGCATTTGCTGAAGAAGAAATACGTATGTCCCCATCCCTCCTGTGGGCGACTCTTCAGGCTCCAGAAGCAACTTCTCCGACATGCCAAACATCATACAGGTACTTTTTTCAATAAAATGTTTATCAAGTAGCTAAATGCACTGTACTTTTAAGATTAGTAATAATATTTTTTCCTAACATCTTAAGAGTCTGCAATCAAGTGTGGGAGAAAAGTGTGAAAATAAAATGTGATAAAACATAAATTTTACAAGGGATGAGCTAACTAGGGCTTTTTAACTTTTATCCTTTGACTTCTTTAATAAGAGCTTTTATGCTTGGATAATGATCTTTTATTGAGCACATATTCTGTGTCAACTGTGGACTAAACACTTTATATGTATTGTTGCTTATCCATCTATTAAACACCACCAGGTTTGCTTGTATTAGCCTTACTTTACAGCTAAGAAACCGTACAGAGGCCTACCAACATTAAGTAACTTGCCTGTGGTCACACAGCTAGTTTTTAGCAGAACTAGGATTTTCTAATTCTGCTTCAAGTAGGTACTTGTAGTAGCTCTTATGGACTAAAAGTGAAAAGTATGAAGAGACAGCCTAAATGGTAAAGAGGCTCACTTATAGTTTATGGTAACTACTAAATAGCTCCTGGGACTTCTATTGAAATCTTAAAGGCTGGCTATTGAATTCCCATGTAACCTCCTGTAGGAGCTATTGACTAAAAGATAAACTGTCTTTGTAATACATACTATAGAATGAATTCAAATTGCATTCATTTTTAGCTACTCACAGTCTCAGTGCAGTGTAGCTAATAGGAACAAATTGGGCTGGGTATTACAGCTAATTGAGTATGTGCCAGAAACTTGATTATTACATGTATCTTCTCAATAATCTTAGAGGGTTAAGACTAGGAATTCCAGTTGCAGAGATGTCACGTCTCCAGCCCAATGTCTTAGTGATCTGTGTACCCTTTCCGTCATTTACTAAATGTATGACTTAGGCAAGTTACTTAATTTCTGACCTTCTCTCTTTTCCTCATCTGTATGATAAGGATAATAATGATACCCCTATCATGGAGTGATGTCAGTATTAGAGAGTTTTCCTTTTCCAGATAGATTCCTTTTGAAAATATGTAAATTTATTTAAGCAAATGGATGCCACACCCGGGTTTGCCGTGCTACCTATGGAGCTAGAAAAGTGGACAAGACCTGGGAGGTACGAAGAGTTGTCCCTAGGTTAGAATCGTACATTTTTAGACCTTGCTACTTATCATGTATAATATAGACCAACAAGCATTGGCATCACTTGAGGTCTTGTTAGAGATACAGAATTTCAGGCCCTGCCTCAGACCTTCTGAATCTGCATCTAATAAGATCCCCAGGTGATTCCTAAGTACATTCAAGTTTGATAAAAACTTAACTCTTCTGCCCTGCTTGGTTTTAGAACTGTTAGGGATGGAGTGTAAGATTGAATTGGGTTATTTACCTTTTAATTTATCCTTGTGTTTTTACTGTGACTATTTCTATTAATTTTGAGTGAAAGGCATAGAAAATGTAGTGGTCATTCATTCAACAAGTAAATGTTGAACATCTGTTTGTCCACTTTCTTCCCAAGCAAGTGATAAAGAAATAATTAAGTACAATGCTCCTTTGCCCCATAGATTCCACACCATGTTATCAAATTCATCAAAAATCATATGATTTTTGACAACATGGATGGACATTGAGGGTATAACGCAAAGTGAAATAAGTCAGAGGGAGAAGGTCAAATACCGTATGATTTCCTTCATTAAATAGTAGATAATAACAACAATAAACAAACACATAGGGACAGAGATTGGATTGGTGGTTACCAGAGGGGAAGGGGGGAGGGAGGAGGGTGAAAGGGATAATTCGGTACATGTGTGTGGTGATGGGTTGTAATTAGTATTTTGGTGGTGAACATGATGTAATCTATGCAGAAATAGAAGTACAATGATGTACACCTGAAATTTTTACGTTATAAACCAATGTTACTGCAATAAAAAATTAAAAAAAAAATCGTATGAAATTTGGGGGAGTATGAAATGAAAGAGAAGTAATTGAATGGTGCAGAAGATGTGGGGGAGGAGAATAAGGAAATGAAATACAGGTGCTGTTTGCATATATTTGATAGCAGCTACTGGAATCTTTAGAGAAAAAAATCTTTAAATTATTTTTGATTTTTTTGGTGAGGAAGATCAGCCCTAAGCTAAACATCCATGCGAATCCTCCTCTTTTTGCTGAGGAAGACCGGCTCTGAGCTAACATCTATTGCCAATCCTCCTACTTTTTTTCCAAAGCCCCAGTAGACAGTTGTATGTCATAGTTGCACATCCTTCTAGTTGCTGTATGGGGGAGGTGGCCTCAGCATGGCCGGACAAGCGATGCGTCGGTGTGCGCCCGGGATCCGAACCCGGGCTGCCAGTAGCGGAGCACACGCACTTAACCGCTAAGCTATGGGGCTGGCCCAAAAATTGTTTATCTTGAGTAACATTTTTTGAACATGAAATGGAAGATATGATTATCACTGTAGATGTGGATCACTTTTCTTCTAGGGAATGCCAAATTCTTTTGTTGTTGTTTGAATGCCATATTTTTTATACGTAAACATTCAGCTTTCACAGTCTGCGAAAAAACTATTTTAAAGAATAAAATCGATGGAAAATGTAGCTGTTTACTTGCTAAGCAGTTTATCCAAGATCTGGATTACTGGTAAAATTGAGATTAGGATTCCAGTTCTCATATTTCTTTCTAGGTTTTGAGGTTTTTGTTTCTTTGTTTTAATAGGTCCTTATGCTACTGAATGTATAGACTAAAAAAAAACAGATGAAAAGTCTTTGTTTTTTAAATTTTGTTTATCCAAAATGTTTATACATTGAAAATAGTATTGCTTTTACTCTAAATTGACCTGCCTGATCATCTGCTTTCCTATTTTAAGCTAGGAAAAAATACTTACAGGGATTCTAAATGGAACACTAACCACGTTATTTTTTTCCTTAGATCAAAGGGATTATATCTGTGAATATTGTGCTCGGGCCTTCAAGAGTTCCCACAACCTGGCAGTGCACCGGATGATTCACACTGGCGAGAAGCCATTACAGTGAGTATTTACTGGTGAACATCTGGGTGAGAAGTGCATATACCCTACTCGAGAGTTAGCCCCTTTTCAAACATTTCGGCCATCACTGGTCTACTTATACCAAATTGAAGAGTGGGTATTGATTGGGGGAGGTAGCTAGTGACCTTTTTCTTTTGTTTCCTCTGTTCTTCAAAGAAACAGAAGAAAAAAATCAGATTTTTCCATCTGGTAACTTTGCTAATCTTTCACAAGAAGTATATGTTACTGACCATTTAAATTCTCACCCTGACCCTGAATAAGAGCTTTCTTTATTTCTCTATTTGATCAGCCATTTCTTCTTCCACTCTCCTTAGATGCGAGATATGTGGATTTACTTGTCGGCAAAAGGCATCCCTTAATTGGCACATGAAGAAGCATGATGCAGACTCCTTCTACCAGTTCTCTTGCAATATCTGTGGCAAAAAATTTGAGAAGAAAGACAGCGTAGTGGCACACAAAGCAAAAAGCCACCCTGAGGTGCTGATTGCCGAAGCTCTGGCTGCCAATGCAGGCGCCCTCATCACCAGCACAGATATCTTGGGCACTAACCCAGAGTCCCTGACACAACCTGCAGATGGTCAGGGTCTTCCTCTTCTTCCTGAGCCCTTGGGAAACTCCACCTCTGGAGAGTGCCTCCTGCTAGAAGCTGAAGGGATGTCAAAGTCATACTGTAGTGGGACGGAACGGGTGAGCCTGATGGCTGATGGGAAGATCTTTGTGGGAAGTGGCAGCAGTGGGGGCACTGAAGGGCTGGTCATGAACTCGGATATACTCGGTGCTACCACAGAGGTTCTGATTGAAGATTCAGACTCTACTGGACCTTAGTGGAAGGGAAGACTTTGGGCACTGGGACAGCTCAGACTTTGTATTTAAAAGATAAAAAGGACAAAAAAAATTTAAAGCATTTAAAATCTAGTAAAATAACTGAAGGGCCTGCTCTTTCCATTGTGGATCACAGCACACACACACACACACACACACACACACACACCTCCTGCTATTGTCCCCTTTATAAAATTGATGTTGCCTTTACCAGAAAGGTAGATTTAAAAAAAAAAAAAAGAAGAAGCTCTTAAAGTGAGGGTTATACTCAGTTCCAGCCAGGCAGACTGCCTGCTCGTCGGCAGATCCCTTTTTCCAACCTGTAACTCTGATGTGCTCTGGATCAGCTTTTAACTCTTAATAGTATATTACTGTCCTCCAAACTCCTTCTCCTCCTTTACTGCTGCCCCATAGTTCTGGCTTCTACCTACTGCAGCACACTTATCCTCAAAGTATCACATAATTCTAATCTGGAGGCTTGCAGCTTGACTTGGCACTTTAGGGCCCCTTAGCAGGGTGAGCTGTTAAAACAGCGCACATCTCTCACCCCCTTTTCCTCCATTCCCCATTGGGTTTAGGAAAGGAAGGATATGTGGGGACCATCTCCCTCCTCTGACCCCAGCACCTCAGTCCCCCTCCCAACACCTCCATATGGTTCTCAATGGTGCTCACTTGCTTGGAAGCAGGCTCCCAACAGGGAGGGGGCTGCCCTCTCTATGTGGTCTCTCTGACCATAAGACAGGGCTCTGGATCAGTGAGAAAAGTCCCAGACTAATGGCAGAAATTTGCACTTTGAACATGTGTGTTTTTGTGTTGTGGAACCTGAGATTCCTTATTTATTAATGGAAAATCTGATTTTTTTTTTTTTTTTTTGTCTTTGTTGCTATATTTTGTGGGGCTGGGAGAGGTTAGATTATTCTGATATGGTCCTTTCCATAAGAGGTACTTTTTGAAGGCAAGATACAGAGTTGAAGAAGCACAGCCAGCCTCTATAAAATCATAGCTCTCCAGTGGCCTTTAAAGAAAGCTGGTCCTCAGCACTAACAAAATCACTACAGTAGCCTAGTTGCTTTTCCAGGAGCCTTTTTAGGGAAGGGTGTTAGGTTTGTGGTAATTAGTGCTCTTTGAGTTTTTAGAGCATTGAGACTTAGGAATTTTGAGGGGGTGAGGAAGGTGGTTCAGGGTCTGATTACAGATAAAAGATTATCTCTTGTGAATTTGTTTATTTTTTCTTTTGTCCCCATCATTTCTTTACACATCCCTCCCTACTGGCCCAACTCTGGCCCCTTGCTTAACAGCTTTCCCTTTGCTTTATCATTGGTTCATTCCAGCTCTCAATTAGTGAAGGACACTGCCGTTAGTGAAGGAATAGTCTGTGAGTCATACAGTTTTAAGTCAAAGAAAATTGCTCTGTTTTGTTTCTCTTTTACTTAACACTTCAGAAGAGGAAAGGCTTCAGTAGACAAAGTTAATAATCTGGATAATAACGGCTTTGGCTTTCACCTGAAATTCTGGGAATTACCACTTCCCTCAAGAATAGGGATTTTCATGGAGTGGATTGCTTATTACTGTCCATGGGAGAGACAGGTAGTGTTTTTGTACAAGTTTTCGTAACTCCTAGAAGACTAAAAACATATTTTGGCTCATTTTTAAAGAATTAGAAGGGCAATCCCTATCCTCCTTTGTACCTCGGAAGCTGGAATTAAAGATTTGCCCTGTTCATTGTTTGTCAGAAATGTATGATGGCTGTTGGAAAGAATGAAGTTTTGCCAAGAACAAAATAAGGAACAGCTTGTTTTTCACAAACACTAAAACTACAAAGTTTATCAATTTTCTCTTTGTTTTTTCCCAAAAAGAGTGGTAACAAAATGTCATCTCTGAAAGAGGCTTACTTTACACCCACTATGGTCAGTGGTTGGGATGCCAGGGAATAGGGAGTGAAACACCTACAGTGAAGTCTTAAATGCGCTATTGTTCCTTTTTAGAGTGTTGCAGATTTGCCATCCCTCCAGTGTGAGGCTAGAAAAAAGCGTAAGGATAAAAGGGATGTAGAGTATGCTTTCCTGCCCAACAGTAAGGATTTGGAGTTGACTTTGGTGTGTTGGGTAGATTTGAAAATATTATAAGATTAATTGGATGGGTCTACAAATAATTGTTCCACTCCCATATAAGTCCAGTTTGTACTGTTTCACTAGCTAGCATCTATGCCCTGCACTTACCTTTTGTCTTTGTCACATTGATCTTATCCATTGTCTCCATAAATTATATTTGCAATGGTTAGTTGTCAGATATTTTAGCCACCTACACAAAGCAAACTGCATTAAAAAAAACAAAACTATGAGATAGAGGGAGATGTTCTTCCCTATATCGCACTCTCCCCGCCAAAAGCAACTAGTTGTAATAATGAGAAAGTTTCTGTTCTTTCTTTTTTTTTTGGTCCTCTTCGTAGCTACCATTTGCCTACAATTTGCTTCAGTAAATTATTGTAGCAGTTTGCAATCAATTTTAAAATATTTTTCATGGACTTGATTTTTTTGCCTTTTGAGAAACAGATGCTAGCATAGTAAGAGTTGGTGTAAGTAAACTATCTTATACTAGGCTCTCTTCCCTTTTCCTTTCTGCTCCTCATGCTGTTTACTTTGTTGTCTTTCTAAGGAGCTCTTTTAATCTTAAAACTCTGCTTTTCCTACTCTTAGTCAAATTCTGTTACCTTTTTAATCACTCTTCCCACTGCATATTTTCCATCTTGAATTGGCAATTTCTAAATTCTTAAAATGTCATTGAGATGCAAGCATTGTATCTGGGAGATGAGCCTCCCCTTGTTTGTTGTTGCCCAGGGTTATTTTGAGACTTAACATGCTTCAGAGAGTTTAGATAAACACTGGCCAGGATTACTGGGAGTAAAAAATATGTATTGAAATATATGAAGGTATGGAAAAGCATCCACCTAGAGCACTTGAACCTCCTTTGTACCTGTTTGGAGAAAAAATATAAAGAGTGTACTAAACCTAACTATTACAGTCTGGTTGTTTGAAGTACCATTTTTCCCTCCTCTCTTTTTCCCACTTTCCAATGTACTCAAGAAAATTGAAAAATTGTAATGGATCAATTTAAAATATTTTATTTCCTAAAAGCCTTTTTTGCCTGTTGTAATGTGCAGGACCCTTCTCCTTTGATGGGAGAGACAGGTAGTTACCTGAATCTAGGTTGAAAAGGTTATGTAAAAAGAAATTATAATAAAAGGGATACTCTGCTTTTCAAATCCTTGTTTTCTCTTAATCTAGGTAAGGCATATCCAAAATAAATATGTAAAGAAGAAAAATAAAAAGTTGTCCTCATGGAAGCAACTGGTCTTCCTTGGTTGTACTGAGTTACAGTGAAACTGTTGAAGCTGCTAAATGAGAAAACCAAGTGCCCTCAGAGCAAAGTTTTATGTGGCAGATACTGTTGTTTGCTCTTGTTGAGAATCAGGTAGTTAACTTTTGACTTAGTTTACTTCTTGATTTCTAATGCTGAGATGCCATATGATTCTGTGATAATTTGGCAAATTTGGAAAGCCCTGCCATGTTTTGACAGACTTCTACTGGGAAAGGTGGCTATATTAAACTAGTAGAGAGAACATTAAGGAAGCTGTGAGGTTAATTTCATTCTGATGCTGACAAAACCTTGATAGCATTTAATATCAATGCTTTTTCACAAAACTTCGATGTCCACGTAAAGTACCAACTTAAAAAAAAGGAAAAAATAGAATCCTCCTACCTTCTTATAAGGCCTACTTTGACAGCTGCCCAGGCCTCATTTCTTGCTCCTTTGTATCCCTTGTTTATTGTTTACCTATAGAAATTTGCCCCTGAGAAGGCAGGCATTTCAGCTTTGAGGCAAGGAAATAGTGAGAGCTAATTGATTCATTTGAGGATGAAACTTGCAACTCTGACCAGATTAGCATCATCCTCTCACCTAGTGAGTTAAATGCAACAGAACAACAGCTCTCCAAGTACTTTTAAACTCTGCCCTCATTTCAAAGCCCAGCTCATTCTCTTATTTTGTTAAGAAGCAATGTGGTATGACTGTGATAAAGATAAAAAAGAAAAGCGTGTTTTCACTTGAGTGAGACTGCATTAGAAATGTTAGCTAGTCAGGGTTGGGTGTTGCCTGTCCTTTGGAAGAGAACAGGCCTAAACAGTACCTTCCTCATCCTGTAGCTATGAGGAAGGCACCATGATTGAGATTAGAGATGCTTCCATAGCTGATTATTAATCAAATGGAAATTAAACTAACTTTAAATATATAGCAAAAGGATGGAAGTGAAAAAGATTGTGTATTTTTAAAGGACCTATTTCATGTAAACTTTTGTTTCTTGAACAAAATGTGAACTACCTAAAGAATGAAATTGGAAAGTCAGTGGGAAAAACAGCTGTAGAATCAAAGACCGATATTTAAATTTTGAGCCTAGTTGTTGGATTTTGTGCACATTATTTAATTTCTTTATGCGTCAATTACTTCTTATGTAAAATAGGGAAAATACTCTTTACCTCATAGAATTATTCTAAAGATCAAATAAAGGCTTTAAAGCCTTTAGGGCAGTGTCTAGCACAGGGTAGATGCTTAATAAGTGGCAGCTTTATCAATAACAACAACTTAATATTGTTGAATACTTGACCAGGCCAAAAAAAGAAAGAAAAGGACATAGGGAGCACAAGGGAAGGTGATAATAGAATAAACTGATTATATGTGTAGATAAAATAGATTACATTAGACAGGGGTGTGATGAGGATTAGTGTGAGAGTGACCTTGTTGCTAAGTACAAAAGCAAAACAATGACATAAAAACAAGTACGCTAGGCACTGAGTGGAGGAGAGAGATGGAGGCAGACGCTGCAGGAAAAAAAGCTGATTAAAAAGGGGCCTTTGATTCCACAGGCACAAAAATCCACAGGCACAAAAATCCACAGCCAGGAATTTGCTGCCACCTCTGAGTCAGGCAGGGGGTGGGGGTGGGGTGCACAATCCCATTAGAGAAATGCCCAGTGGATTTAGTCTGAGAGTCACATTTCTTATTTGGACCAGTGTAGACAGAAGCAAACCCAGCTCACTTGTTTCCTGGGACAGTTGAGTTAGGGGATGGCTTTTGCAGAGCGTTCACCGCTGACCCCTCACCGCCGGGACCTCTGTAGCCGCTCTATCTGGCTAGCAAGGAAGATTCGTTCAGACCTGACTGCTCTTATGGAATCTTATGTAAGTTGCCTATTTTGCTGTTGTCTATTTTCACTTAATCTCTTCTGATCCAGCTTCTTCATCATGCTCCAGCCCCATTACCAATTATGAAAGCCCTAATCGTACAGTCATATATTGGGCACCTATTATTTGACATGGCCCTTTCCCTTGAGGAAACTTATGAGCCTTATTTCTCTAGGCTGTTTAGGAGACATGTTCCTTGAATAAAAAAAATATAAAGTTCTAGGTAGGATTGGGTATATGTCTTGGAGGCGGTTCCTAATTTGATTGCCTACAGTCTGAATTCTACCAGAACAGATTAACTATGGGCCTTCTACGTTTGAGTTTTTTATATACATTGTTCTGAATATTTGAGCTATGTAAATGAAAGGCAGAGTGAGGTTTATAGGATTGGGAGAAGAGCAATATAAACCCAACCAATTTCTATACAGTATTAGCCACCCACTTTTTAATTACATACATCAAAAGTATCCCTGTGTCTAAATAGAAAGGTCACCTACACTATCAAAAGGATCCCCTAGAAGAGTCACTGGGGACTTGAGGAAGTGTCAAATTCTTAAGGAGCCAATCATGGAGTTCCAGATTGGTTTTCTGATAGAGGGAGATCACCATCAGTCTCCACCTAAGGCCTACTGTGGAAACACTGCAGGTCCCCATGGAGAGTTCTGAATTTAGGTTCTCTGAGAATTGGTTTATCTTCATACAGCTCACCAGTCAGAAATCAGACTCTTTGAAGTATCTTTTTTTTTTTTAATACTAGTTATCACTGACTTCTCTAAAGAATTAGCCTCACCATTGAGAGTGGGCAGTGGAGGAGAGGGCAGTTTGAAAAATTCTACAATGCCTACATTCTAGGGCTGCCTGGGTGTGACCAGTATCTTTCAGTATGTTTAAAAAACTTAAATTCCAGTATGATTAAAACATATCAGTGTCCAGGAAGGAGTTTGAAGTTGGGAAGAAAAATTATTCTAGACCAGTGGTTTTCAACCTTTAAAAGCTAATGAAAGCTGCAGATTCTCCCAAGAAAAATGAACAAGTAGTCAAAGCAGTATGTGTAATTTCAGGGAGAATAGGATCTTCCTAAAGTCCATTCATGGACCCCAAATCAAGAGTTCCTGTTCTGGACTTTTTATTTTCTTTACTGTTTGGATCCTTGACCAGGGAGGTGAATAAGATTTTATATGAGCTTTAGAGATTAAGTGAGTGATTACAGAAGATGTGATGTTTTTCTGTATCCTTGGCCAGGTGAAGCATCAGGGCCTGAATGAGAACGTAAACCTGGACTCTGTGGATGGTGTGCCAATGGCAAGCACTGATCGATGGAGTGAGCTGACTGAGGCAAAGCGACTCCAAGAGAACCTGCAAGCTTATCGTACCTTCCATGTTATGTTGACCAGGCTTTTAGAAGACCAACAGGTGCATTTTACTCCAGCTGAAGGTGACTTCCATCAAGCAATACATACCCTTCTGCTCCAAGTTGCTGCCTTTGCTTACCAGCTGGAGGAATTAATGGTGCTCCTGGAATACAAGATTCCCCCCGGTGAGGCCGATGGGATTCCTGTTACTGTTGGAGATGTTGGTCTTTTTGAGAAGAAGCTGTGGGGCCTAAAGGTGCTGCAAGAGCTTTCACAGTGGACAGTGAGGTCCATCCATGACCTTCGAGTCATTTCTTCTCATCCAACTGGGATCTCAGCACATGGAAGCCATTATATTGCTAACGACAAGAAAATGTAGCAGTTACCCTTCTTCCTTTCTTTTCTAATGGAATATACGTAGTTCTCTGAGGCCTCACCTTCCTACTCTTCAGTTTTTGAAAAACCTTTAAGACCACAGGCATTTTCCTTAAGTAGGGTTGGAGACATGGACAAATGAACATACAGGTTTAGTCTGGGGGGTGTGTGTGTGTATGTGTATGTGTGTTGGGGCCATAAGGGAGTGGGGCAGGGACAACATCCTTCCATCTGAGTGCTCTAGTCTTTTCTACCCACTAAGTAACCTTTACAGGCATTTAACAGCCTCACAGGATAAATATATTTTTGACTTTAGTCCTGGATGACTCTTCTGAGAAGACTAACAGTGAATTAAAAATCATAGACTCTAGCCAACTCAAACTTGGATAATAAAAATAGTAACTAACGTTTATTATCTACTGTATTAAAGTAATATGTCACAGGCTTTATGTATATTATAATTTTCACAACAACCCTGTTGAGGGAGGTGGTGGTATTCTCATTTGGCAGATGAGAAAACAGGCTCTCAGAAATTTATAATTTGTTCAGGGTTACCCATCTAGCAAGTGACACACTAAGTTTGAACGCAGATTTTTCTCATTCCAAAGCCTATGTGCCCTTCACTCTAGAGACCTGATTATGAACCTCGATCACTGCACCTCTTTGCCACAGAGGGTTGGAAAATGTATCCATGTAGACTAATCCTAGCACTGAAGAAACAACCTCCAGTACATGTCCTGAATGGCACAATTTTAGTGTTAAAGGCAGTATTTGCTGTCCATACTTGGCAAAGAGAGCAATGGAGATCTTAAGATTCTGTTTGGGGAGAAGATTAGGCTCACCAAACTTCAGAATTTAAGCAGATAGGGATGTGCAGTAATACAACCTGTTATTAAAGTGTTCACTAATGTTCTTGAGTTTGGATTTGGGATACCAGGTTACCTCACATTTATTGTAATCAGCAGTGCAGTGATACAGACACTGTAACCCAAGCATTCATGGACAGTGGGTGGACTACTACTCAGGTTAAAAAGTCACAGAACTCCTTCACCACACATTCTCGGCACTTAGTCATGAGAAGCGGGTGAGGCCCACTCTGTTCCCCGTGGGAATGCTGGCGATTCTGAAACAATATACATCAAAGCCTCCATGCTTTACAACAAAGGGGCAGAGCTCTGCATTTAATTTTCTTGAGAGAAGCACAGTGTGAGAGGCGCCAGGTAGTAGATGTGGGCATTAATGGAAAAGGTCATTTGCAGTCGGGCCTGTGAACTAGTAGTGCAGTGTGAATCCGGAAGTTCTCAGGTGTACCATGTTTCACACTACCAATTAGTGAAAACTCAAGATCTTCAACTGGGGACCCAAATCAATTTAGTTTACTTGTTTGGGGCTTCAGTATTCTTAAATGAACCATGAGTCAGAGAGGGCTAGCTCCCAAAGGTCGCATGAGGTGGAATGGGTGATTAGCTTGTGTCCTTCCCTACATAGGTTCATGTCCAAAACTCCATGAAGTCAATGTTATGAGAGGCCTCTGGGCTAGGCGTTGGGGTGATACAGGGTAAGAAAGGCCCTGCTCTCTAGTGTGCATTTGTGGAAACAAGGTTGTATGCATATAGGGGATCAATACTAGGCTGGAATTGTAAGGCACAGGTGTAAGTGTTATGGAGTTAAAAGGAAGCTCAACAAGGGCCAGAAATCGCTTCCTGGAGGAGGGAGGAGTTCAGTTGTGTCTCAGAGGTTGGCTGAGCACCAAATAAAGAGAAGTCATGAGGTGAGGAACACGGAAGAGTTGCCTGGCTAGAAGCAAGTGAGGCAATAATAAACATCTGAGTCCAGCAACCACTAGAGGTTTATTGTTTGGTTTTATTTTATTTGTGATTTTGGTATAGGTAAATAGTTCCCCAGTGAATACATAGAGGCTTATTTCATTCAAGCTTTTCCTTGTTTAAATTGTTGCTTCTGCTTAACAGCAACAGCAGTATCTTTGATTGATAAAGTGCCTGCTTGTTAATGTGAAGCTCTTAGATTTATCTGTACAGTATTTTAGGTTCTTTTTGTATAATGGAGAAAGAATGACTAAAATTTCTTGATGGGGAATAACTAATGACAAACTTGCTGAATCTGAAAGGAGTGACCCCTCTCCAAGTGTTTTGTTTTTATATTCAGCAGGTGTGGCAGGGCAGACATCTGCAGAAGTTCCAAAAATCAATGGAGCATGGCTTAAGCTTTGCTGAGTTGCGTGTGAAGGAGTATTTATGGACGAGGCACATTTGAAGTGGTGGAGGGTCCAGAAAAGGTACAAATACTAGCTATTGAATGGGAGGGAATAGGAAGATGTGTAAGTTTCAATTAGGTCACAAAAGCAGCAAGTCTACCGAGTGCACTCCCAACTCTGTGCTAAGAGCTACGTATCAGTTTCTCCTTCAAGAAACTTGCTATGTGCCTCAAAAGAAGTGTGGGGAAACTCCTTAGAAAAAGGTAGATAAAGTAAGAGGGAAATGAGCACTTAGCCATAATAACAAAGACATAAACGTGTGGATCTGCGTGTGTAGACGTTGCATCATGCTCATCTGAAATGGATGAAACAGACTGAATGAGGGACTGACAATATGCCAGTGCTCTAGGGTGTGCGTTTCGTAATACACATAAGGATAATGGCGACACTGTGGAAGTACATATTTTTTAAGGATCCACAACCCAAAAGAGATTTTTGATCTTCAGATTTTAGTTCCTTTGTTTCTTAGATCTGTATATGGATAGGATCTCTGGGGAATCATATTTTTATATACATATAAACTATATCATATGTATTAATATGTGTGTATATATATAACTATATATCAATAAGGTATTAATAGGCATAAATTTAATTCCTAGGCCCTAACTCTTATTTTGTAAAGAGGATTCCTTCCATCCTATTGTCTCCAAAAAAGTCCTCTCTGTGGGGAGACAGATTCAGTTTTCCTGAATCTGTCAAGGAATTGCATGTATGAGAGTTGATAAATTCTTCATTGATTTAAGAGGGTGATTTGGAAAAGACTTGCAAATTAGCACAAACTCGAAGGCCAAGTGTGGGATACAATTAGCTTTAGTATGATTAGGTTTGAGGGAAGTGAGAGTTTTAATAAATATGGAAAGTGTAAAGTCATAGCCCTGTTATTGCTGTTATTTCAGGCTGCTGTGGATTAAAGCCCAATGGATGACTCATTGCTGTGACCTCTGGTCAAACAGGGAGAGGACAAGTAAATATTTCAGGGAGACATATCTGCAAAGTTGTTTAGAATGACTTTTCTTTATGAATCCTCAGCTCCTCATGAAGTGGCTGAGTACCTTCTCCCTCTGTTGAGGAGTAAAATAGAAATAGAAATGCACCAGGATGAGAAAGGGATTGGTGAAGAGGAAAAGGAGAAAAAAAAGTAGAATTTGGATACCACTTCAGTTGATTTATTGTGTGTGTGTGTGTGTGTGTGCGCGCGCGCTACTAACAGCGTTTAGGCCAGGGCCTAGAAAGAATGGTTTGGCCTCCTGCCTCATCCCACCTCAGCGTCAAGCGTCAGACCCAAGAATGAGACCTCTGAATGTTGGTACATTCAAAAAGTGAAAGTGATGAAAATTTCATTTCTCCGCTCAAAAGCTATAAAGTTCTAAGGTTTACAGATAAAGAAAGTAAAAATATAATTTGATCTTTTGATGAAATTTGTGTGGGGTATGAGATAAGAAAATCCACGTGCATGAGATTCTTATGTTACTTGGATCGATCTATTTTTGGCAGTTAGAAAATAAAAGATGCAAGAATGGCTAACAATAAAGATCTCACCTCAGCAAGACCATGAGTTGCTTCTTTTATTTCTGTATCTTTGGATGAACAAGGGGAATTTCAAGTGAGTTCAACATTGGATGAAGTGTAATCCTCCAGCCAGGGCCAGGCTCAATCAAGTGTGCCAGGTAAATCTCCATTATGCTAGGCCACTGGGAAAAAAATCCCAAGGCGAGCCAGCCTAGAAAAGGTAGACTGCCCCTATGCCTATCAGCTAGCCTGCAGGTGAGGAAGATTTCCTTCTATATTATTTAATTTCAAGTATTCCCAGTCAAGCCTTTGAAAGACAGAAGAACCCTGACTAGCCCATTTCTAGTCAGTTGGAAGGTAGAAACTAAGTTGTGGGAAATCACATAGGGGAAAATATGAAAAATTGCTAAGAGATTCTATATTTTTTTCCACATGTTCAAGGTGGTATCAAACGAATTCTGCATTTCCTTATTATGTCAGGTGCCTTACAGTACTATATGTCATTTAATCCTCTGAGATCCTGTCTCTCCTTCACAAATGAGGGAAATGAGAATGAGCATTAACTTGTCCAAGTTCCCTCTTCTAGTATATGACAGGATTGGAGTTTTAGTTCCGGCTCCAAAACTCACTCCACTACACCCCACTGCTGTGGGACTCCTACAGAAATCCATTCTTCATCTCTAATTCACTTTCCTTGGGTAAAGCCAGCAAGAGTTGTACCAAATCTTGCTCTGTGACAAACCCTATTAAGTTTCCAAACTTTGGGACAAGTCACTTTTTCTGAGCTGCTTCATTTATGAAATGGAAATGACAATTATCTTTACAGGTCGTTATATGGTTTAGACAAATTGAGTATCTGAAAGTACTTGTAAATGACGTATAAACATCAAGTATATTTAATGTCTCAAATAGCTTGGATTGATGTAAGACTTTCAACTGAGGAGAGAAGTCTGTAAGCATCTCAGAGAAATACCAGTTGCTTCCGAGGATCCATGTGATCACAGCCTGGACTTGACTTTGTTGTAGCTGTGGGCCTTTGGCCACTAGAGACCGACCCAGTCTCATACACAGCCTCCAGGAGTTATCCACCTCTGTGGAGAGTCGAGACTCAGGCTGTTCACAACACCCAGAAGAGATGGCTTTCCCAGTAGGCGGGGTCAGACAAGTTCTGGAGGAACCTGGCAGGCCCTCTAGAGAGCCAAGGAAACATGCAAACCAAGGCACCTCCCAGGATGTGTTAAAGCATGCATTTAGACTGAGAGTTGTCCCACCATATACCAGCATTCTCCTCTGAATACCGGAAGGAACTCAAACTTGGTTTAGTTTAATCCCATCATTAAACACAGCACAAGGAAGCCAGAGAGGTTCAGTAAAGTGCCCCGGTGTCCCAGCTAGAAAGCTGAAGAATTAGAACTACAGCC